CCACTTCCCGGAGTCCCCCTCTCCGGGTATTGCACTAAACTCTTAGTTAGTCTCATTTAGCCCCTACAGCTAGGCGAAGAAGCCCTTACAAGAACCACTTCCACAAACCTGGTGCGACAAAGTACCGAAATCCATTTCACCCTCCTAGTGAGGCAGAGAACCTTGGATGCTTTTTCACCCTCCTGGTGAAGGCAGAGTACCTTGCAATCCTTTTTCACCTTCCTAGTGATGAAAGAGAACCCAACGATCTTCAGCCTTGAAGTCTTTCTCCACAGAGTAACCCTAAGAAATCAACAAAGCTACTGGAGGAATCAAGGTGCAAGCCTGCTTAGAGCAACCATGTGGAATCTCCTTGCACTCCTCCCTTTCATACAACCTCGTCTTCTCCTACTCCAATGCTATAAGACTTCTCACAAAGATCTCTTTCAAAATCTCTTCAACAACCAAAGATTCTCTAAGAGTCTAATAAGAAAGCTTTTATACAATGCTACAAAAAAAACCCCAAAATTTTAATTATGCTGACTTTGTTCATACAATATGATCGATGATCATACAATTTGAATAGTTCAAAAGTTAAAGTTCGTTCAATATGATAGAACAATCGCATTACAAACTGTTCAAGTTTAGTATATTGATCGTATAGTACGATTTATAGATCATACCGTATGATTAGTTTAATTATCTTAAGATCATGCAGGATGATCTCCTGGACGATCGAAATTGTCGCAACTAGTTTTCTAGTACGATTTGATATCGTATTGTACGATTAGTTCAAAAACGAAGATTTCATCAAGGATAATTTCTGAGACGATAGGATTTGGTCTCTGTCTATCCTACGATACGATTCACATCGTACGGTACGATCTGCCATATTAATTAAATCTTGATTTGATTGACTAATCATGGAAATTTATTTAAGTAATTTTTCAAATATGGTACAGTACGAAGGGATTCATACAGTACAAATAATACGAAATCGAAAATAAAAAATACTTAAATTTGATTGGCAGTTTGGATTTTCAAATTAAACAAATTATATAGTACGAACAGTCGTACGATTAGGTTAAAAATATTAATTACAAAATTAGTTATTATTAATACTTTTTTGGATGAGTGATCGTACAATACGATATGAATCGCACGATATGATGAATTTAAAAAAATTCTTACTGTTCATTTTCTCACTCTTATATGTGTGTGCCCCATCATCAAATTAGCATGCACCCTTACAAGGCATAGACTCAAGAAATATAAAATTAAAGAAATAAAAAATACAAACTCTTTCAACACATTCTATTTTACCCAATGTTGAGCCCTGAATGATCATGAATGAAGTATGATGTACCTGAAATATCAATACACATAGAAACGAATACACAATGCATATTCTAGGAGAAATAAAAAGGGCAATCATGCAAGTTATCTCGTTGTGGTGCCTGGTCCTTTCAGTAAAAAGGGCAATCATGCCATCTTGCTTTAAAAACTATGAGATAACTTTGTAGAAGTGTTTTTTTATCTCTCAGTTCTAATCTAAAAAAATTGAACAAATTTTTCACAACGAGCAATGTAGAAGGGCTGTTATAGACAATACATACCAAGATTGGTGACTCCAAGAGATCGTATTTATTCGAGTCATGTCAGGATGAATATATGAGAGTTCCTAACATAGTTCCAATTCAGCATTTAATTATTCCTAATTGGGTTTGACAAATATGTGTGCCTAGGGGTGTCAATTCGGGTCAGAGGGTCAGGTTCGGGTCGAACCCGGAACTGACCCGGCACTGTTCGGGTCAACCCGCATCCGACCCGTTATTAAAAACGGGTCAGGTTTCCGGACCCGAACCCGACCCGATTCGGATCCGGGTCAACCCGACCCGACACGAATGACCCGAAGTTGACCTAAAATTGCTAGCGA